ATATATATTTATTTATTAGTAGTATAAAATACCCTACATAGCGAAAGACAAGAATCCTAGCCATTCTAGCCCATTTCCCGGGTCAAATCTCACAAATGGAATCAAATTTCAATTTTGAAAAAAAAAAATGAAAATTTTTTGAAAAGTAGAGAAGACCGGGCAAAAAAAGGGCTAGGATTCTAGAGCTGTTTTTGTGGAGCAGTGAGCGAAAATGGGCATGTTGCGAAAAAGCCCTAGTTCTAGGATTTTTTCCAGCATCTCCATTAGTTTCCCTTTTTTGCGAAAGGTTACTGTTGATAGAAAGGTCACATGAAATATGAGGGAAAGTATCGATAGAATCATTATTCTTCAAAGGAAACATAAGGAAACATATGGATCAGATGGGACATAAAAGAAGGCCATCATATCGATAAGATGGGAGAGTTCCTTTTCCGTTTATAAAAGAGGGTCACCGGTCTCCCCAGCTCGAAGCCTTCTTTTCAAAAATGATTCCATATACAACATTCGAATACAGCTGCAATTAACAATGGAGAAAATGATGAGGCGAGCAAGTGAAGAAGAGCTAAATGAGATGAAGAGGTTCTACCAACTCACAGTTGACAATGAGATGCACCAAGCAGTCGTAACAACGAATCGCCGTAGAAAGGAGGCAATTGAAAGGAAAATGGTTAAGAAGGATGTGAGGACAATCATAGGCGAAGATGGTTCAAATATGTATGTGGCATCACTAGTAGAGGAGAAGCTAAGTGCTTTGGTGGATGACGTCAAGCAGGGGCTGATGGAGGCAGGATATACAGAAGACCAAGTGATGGAGATTTCCACAATCTACCGCAAACAACGAAAAGTGTTGAGACTGAAGGTCTCCCGAGTACCATCAGTAAAGGAAGGTGGAGAGATGGAGTCCCAAGATAAAGTGATTTCATAAAGTGTGGCATTTGAACCTAGTGGCAAGAATTTGCTCAAGTAAAATCACCAAATGAACCGCCCAAGGGAAACGAACCATGGAGTCTTGAGAAGAAGTGAATGTCAAGTTAGAACCAGTGTTGACTTTGAATTAGGTGGAGTTTGGACACGCGAAATATTAGATGCATAAAACTTTACATGTATGTCAGAGAAAATTTTCGGCGTAGATGCGCACATCCCTTCATCAATAGTCCCGGACTTGGACAAACACCTTGGAAGACTCGAAACACTTTGAAACACTTTGAAACACTCCAATGCATTGGGCAAACACTTCAATACGGCTTATTAATATCATATTATAAGCCGGGTATATCATATTATAAGCTGGGTATATCATATTATAAGCCGGCTGATACAGTGCATATGACTTATCTGATGCACTGTATCACTCGCCGCGGTATGCAGTTTGAAGGCTCGATCACCATGGATGGAACCTCGGTGTCTGTATACCTAAAGCACCCAGAAGCAGACAAGTATGGGAAGCGCAGTGGTGGGAAAAAGTCAGCAACAACTCTTACAGCTGAGGTGACAGCACTTTATGTGGAGAAAAACTTACCTGCTTGTCGAGCAGCAGAGAATGTCATTGTTATCGACCCAAACAAGCATGACATTCTCTACTGCCAAGACGGCAATGGTACGTTTCGCTACACTGCCAACCAGCGAGCCATGGAGACCGGAAGCCGTCGATTTGCAAAAGAACGGCAGCAGATGAAAGCCGGCGGTATTGACCTCATAGAATCACGAATACCATCTCACAAGACGATGAACCTCATGGACTTTACTCGCTATCTCCTCGTTCGCCGTGCCGACTGGAACTGCCGCAAGGACTTCTATTTGCATCCTGCCCACATGCGGTGGAAGTGGCATGCATTTATAAACCGTCAGAAGAGTGAATCAGACCTCATAAGCAACATGCGCAACAAGTTTGGGAACTTTACCATTGTGATGGGTGATTGGAGTGATGCCGGTCGAACTGCGAGATTTCAGACCTCATCAAAGATGAAAGGTTGGCGCACCCTCTTTAAGTGGAACAGGATCAACTGCTTTCTTCTCGACGAATACAAGACCTCATCTGTTTGCCCTCGCTGTTCCTCATCTGAGTTTGTCGAGAAAGGCTTCAAAGAATGACCTCATTCAAGACCTTGGCGGTGACGCGAAGGCAAGATTGAAAAAGTCCATGGATTGCTGGGTTGTACCAACCCTAACTGTTTGCAGCAAGACTGGACGTCGAGAATGCGCTACTGGAACCGAGATACGCTGGCAACCTGTAATATGCTAACGATCGTGCAATCAATGTTGGATGGGCACGGTAGACCAGAGGTGTTCAGCAGGGGTGTTCCAGCGGTAGCGTAGCGTAGTTTAGTTAGATTAGCTTTTCCGAACTGGTTGTCGCCGGTTCAATCCCTGGTGCGGGTGCTAGTGCCAATACCCATCGGCTCCGCACTAAAGAAACTGCTGAAAATAAGATTAATTAGGGATTAGCCTTTAAAGGACATATTAAAGCGATCAAATTAAGGTTAAATTTACCTCACATTCAGTTTATATGCAGGTGTAATTACGACTACCAAGATGGGTTTGAATTTAAACGGTTGCAGACAGCGAAACTGCCATTACTCTGAGGTTTTTTTCCTTTTTTTTGACATCTAGGTCCCATTACGATAGTTTTCTACCGCCTTACTACATTTCTCCTTGTAGTCGTCGTCGCCCTCTTAATCGAACTGGAACGATGAAAGGAGAGGGGGCTCGAGTGGAAAATATTCTGACGAGGTCATGGATTACACAAACCCAATGTTTTGCAGTTGCCAACTACGTTTCTCCTTTAGTAAGAGGCTCATACGCTACAGTGCGCACCATCGAAGCTGGTTAGACAAAGTCTGTATACGAGTCATGTCTCTCATCGTCTGCATCGCTCAGACTTCGACAGCAGCTCGCCGCACAAAAGCCATTGTTCTTCAAATTACACTAATATTATATATCCTTACCAAGGGTGTTATATCATAGTTATTAACGGCGTCCCTTCAATGATTTCCGACGACTACTCAAGCCTGTCAAAGGTCAGAGCAATTTCCATTCCGCCAGCATGTTTTCAAAGGGATCAGGATCAGCTTGGAATGTTAATCTATCACCAGTCGCGCTTTCCCAACACGATTACTGAGGTAGGGCTTTTTTGCCAGGTAAAGGATTGAATGAGTGGTGCGAATAATCAGCGTTCTCCGCTTTATTAGAGATGCATGTCCGGAGCAGTAGCTACTTTGTCTTGTCAATGCAACGAAAACTTTTCACTGACTGATTCTTCTTTCGTTGTTGTTTTACGAATGTGTGAAGTTCCGAATCAACGATCTCTTCTCTTTTTGCATCAAGTTGTTTGTGCATGTTGAAAATTCGTCGATTGTTCCCCATATTAAACGCCAAATACGGTTTGAAGGTTCTGCTAGCTTTGAACACCCGGCTTATTGCACGAGCGGCCTTGTGTGTAATACCACTGGTTTCGTGGTCCAGTGTATGGCAAAATCTTCGATCTCTACATGCGCTTGTCAACTCTCAACTAGACTTCTCAGCTGTGGCTATACTCCCCGCCCAAGCAGAGATCACTAGGGCTTGTTGACCACGACGACATCATTTGATGTGTAAATGGGGGTTAAGTGATAGGATGGAGAGCGGACGTCGTGATTACGAGTGCTCTCACATTCGTCTTTGGTCCAGGAGGTCAGAGGTATTTGGTTCATGTTACGGGCCGGTTAAGAGGATGGAGACAAAGAATCCTGCCAACTGTTTCTTTGAGCGCGTTTTCCTGGGTGCAGGGCATGTACTGTAGTCACAATGTTTACACTACCCGGCCTTTATAACGTTTGAACAGTTGAACTGCATGAACTGCGGCTATGGAATACACGATAAAGGAGACTATTCTACTGGCTTAAAAATGATAAGTCACCCTCACTACACTTCTTAACCTTCTCTACTGGACGGCCCAATCCGGAACTCGCCCTCAATTATCCCTTCATAGCACTGGATCAATCGAGTCAACATGTACAGTACATTCGCGTTCAAGCCAAATTTCGATCAAGGACCGGCCGAAGCCGACGAAGCACTACACCCAAAGGAGGCTACCCACACGATGGTAAACCGTACGCCTTCGACAAACCTATCACGTACGTGGGTACACGAATGTTCTACAAAACGGCCTCGGCTATAAAGCTGAACTATACAACGCCGATATATATATAACACAAAATAAAAGGTCAGTACTGCCTGCCCGTCTTATGCATCATCTGAGCCGCTCCACCCTTCACCGTTGTCAACTCTGTAGTTGTCCGCCATGAAACCCCAAATATCAAACTTCTCCTTTTGAGCAAGCCAATCATCATAACCATCACTTAATTGTTTGCGAACAGCATCTTTCCAGCCCACTCTGAGCTTACGCCACGCCAGCTTGGCCCGGCTTTCCTGACCAGCGGCTCCCTCCATCGATGCACGAAGTTGATTTTCCAACGGGTCCAACTCTTCACTTTTCGGCGATGGAGTTGCTTTCGCATCCCGGAGCATAGTTTCAAAGTAATGTGCTCGCCGCTCGGCACTCAATGACTCAGCTACAATCTCCATGGCTTGCTCTGGGGGCACCATTGAGAACAACAGCTTGCCCTTCTCCGGTTTTTGGGTCGGCGGGTGAACTTCGTTAACTGATGATGGCGTTTCGGGAGACGTAAGGGTGGCAGAACTATTACTCTCAGGAGAATTTGCTTCTTCATTTGATGCTTGCCGCGGCTTGGATTTACTATGCTTTCTATCAATTACCGCAACAGAAGAGATTGGAAACATGCCCATTGTATGCGTGGTATGATTGTAGCCATGACACCAGCCATCAGTGAATGTCTTTGAAATGAGGATATTGTAAGACACAATGATACAGTTATTCGACTTTTCTCAAAGACTTTAGAGCTGAGCTTACCATTGAGATAGTGACCTTGTCTCCCACCGTTAATATCATGTCATCCCTCTTTCGCTTCTCAAAGGCTTTGATCACCGTATAGCTCGGTAGTTCTTCCTGATCCACTAAAAACGACGGTAATTGCGAATTTGCACCTGAGCGATGTCCTGCTTCTTTCACATCGTCCTCTTCAGCCACAACTCGCACTTTATCCATAGGGAGCGTGGATGCGTCCTCGAGATGGACGTAACGTTGTGATTTCGCAGCTGAAGAAGCGTTTCTCTTGCGCAAGAGAACCGCCAGTACTATGAGGACGAGGAGAAGGATGCCGCATCCTGTCGATAGTATTATTATTATCGTCGTTTGTTCCATCGTTGTTGCATTTGAGTTGATTCGGTTTGCCCTTTGCTTAAAGGATGACTTTGGTAGACGCTGTGCTGAAAGGCTGAGGGCCTCCTCAACTGGAAAAAGAGATTGCACAGCCACCGATGTTGCTAAGCACGCGATTTCACGCGTAGATCTTACATAACAAAACTTGATCATATCAGGCTTCAATCCTATCCACCTGCTTACATGTGTAGATGAGCACCATGAGCTGGCCACCTCCACCGATTGGAAAGCAGTCATCTGAAGGAGAAAATAAGAAGAAATCCGGCTTGGACTTTGATTTTGATGACGAGGATCTGGATGACTTGCTGCTCAGCAGCGATAATGAAGAGAGAAAACGAAAGCCAAATAGCGTAACCGCCAAGAAAGACAATAAAGGTGACCTAATGGAGGTTTCAATTCATTTATGGACATGTATAAACTTTTTGTTCATTAGAACATGGAGCATTCAAATCAGGGGAAACAGCCCCAGTAAGGAGGGGTTTGCGTTTTGCGGTCTAACGGGACATATTCAGCTGAGCATTTTGATGGCAAGGCAGCGACGTCTTCATTTCCGGCTGCCAAAACATCCTTGCCGTCGGCATCAACGTCATCGCCGCGGCCTTCATCAAGCGCCAGCTCGGGAAATCATGCGAGACCTTCGTTTTCCATTCCTCAACCTGTTTCATTAGCCACAAATAAGCCTTTAGCGTCAACCGATGCGAATAATGTTGATGATATTCTTAAGGGATTGGAGGATATGGATGATTTGGATGCTGATTTGTTCAAAATTTCAAAACAACCTGCGGGAAACGCAATAAAGGAATCCACGGGTGTAACAATAAACCCAAGAACTAACTCTCCCATACCAAAAGAAGGTAGGAAAGGGTTTTGCAAAGGCGTCTCCGTACGTTTTCCCAGCTCATTAGTCTTCTTTATTACCCTCTTTAGCTCCGGATTTGACCACAGCTTTTAAGCGAACAGAACCCTTGACTGCTCCATCTAGCCAAAATGAGTCAGGTGTCGGATTTCCGCCCAGTCAAAAAGTGCTATCCACAGGTCTTGCGGGAGATTCCATGGGATTTGCCGGTCGCCCACGGCAGCGTGCGGAAGAGAAGCCACAGAACGATGAACAAGCTGACCTGTCAAAAAATGCGGTGAATACCGGTGCGGCACGAAAGCCCCTCTTACCCTGGGAGAAAAGGGCTGCCGCAAGTAGTGCTTCCACAACAGTCGCCGACACTGGTAGGAGCGCTACACCAGTTATAAAAACTGTCCCTGCCGCTATGGTAGACACTGGTAGGAACGCTACTCCAGTTGTGAAAACTGTCCCTGCTATGGCAGACACTGGTAGGAACGCTACACCAGTTACGAAAACTGTTCCTGCCGCTATGCCAGACCCAGTTCGTCCAGTATCAGCAACCCAGCAAGGCACAACGTCAAAACCAAAAGCGGCAGCCAGCGATGACGATGAATTTGTCCCTGCCTTTCTTTTAGAAGCATCTGGACCTCGTCGAGCAGGGAGGCCTCGTAGAGGTGTGTTTCAGTATTCCGACAGTACTGTTGAACGGTGACTAACCAAGTCACACTCGCAGAGGAGCCACCCACTCCCATCATTGCAGAAACAGGTGGGCATCTTTCATTTGAGTAGGTCATTGAGGAATGGCTAATGCAAATGTGCTAATTTTGGACTATCATCAGCACCCGAACCACGTCGTATCAATCTTCCGTGTGGGTAGATCTTTCGTAGATCTCATCATTGATTGCAACTAATGGTCATGCCATGCAGTTTTGGACGCGAAGCCCAGTATAGTTAAGCAGGAGCCAAATCCTGCAGTACCGCGAGCAGCGGTTCCAGCGCATCTACCACCAGCAACCCCATCATCTGGTATTTACAATTTTGCTCTAGATGGTAGCGTTTCCGGTAATCACCAATCGATTTATAGCTGCTTTGAATCCAGCGAAACAACATGATGTGGATACTTCTATTCCATCCTCGCCAAAGGTACCTACTAAAGCAGCAGTTTTTCTTATCAGTTTACTTACGCACAAGATGGATAGAAAACCATTCCGGTCACAACAAAGGAGCCACGCTTGACACAAAGTAGTACTTCCACAGAATCAAAACCTTTATCACAACAGGTGATTATTCTCTTCACAGTGCTAATAAACTGGGGTGCTGATCGTTTGCAAACGCAGCCCGCACCAAAATCTGCGCCATCCATCAACCAGCACAAGCTCGTCCGCACCGACACCTCCCTTTCTTCTATCGCTGATCTAAGTGCAATAGATGACAAAGCCAACGATGAAGAAGAGGAGGAAGAATCCTCTCCCCTAGAAAGTGTAGAAGAGAGCGAAGTCCAGGATGTAGAATTGAGTGAAACAGATGCAACGACGTCTGAACCTATACTGGCGAGAAAGCCAATGGCGCGGACAGCGTCCACGACGCTGGTTGACCGTGACAGAACAAAATCGAGGGGCAAGGAAGGGGGCAGATCCTCTTTAGGACAAGGTACCACTGTTGCTGGCGCTGTTCTGATTCACATCTAATACATAGTGGGCTTCTCGTGCGACAGAAGAAGTCAGCCAACTGAGACAGCAGTTGGCAGAAGCAGAGACCCGCTTAAAGGAGGTAGAAAGGGAGCGTCAATCGGTGGAAGAAGATTTAAAGACAAAGGTGATCGCTTCATTATGCTGAATGCCTACGGCCCAACCCCGACGCTGAACGCTTTCGTTTAGCTTCAATCAACACAAAATGAGCTCCAAGACAAGACTCTCCAGTTAAAAGAGATACAGACCAAGGTTAGTTGCGAGCGTGACCTACCAGAATGCTAAATCATCAAATATCCTAAAAGAAATGATAGTTTTGCGAGGAGCGCGCGACCTTGTACGATCAATGCTCTGCAGAAAAGAAAAAGATCGAAGAAGAGAATGCCGCGCTTGTATCCAGCATCAAAGAAGCACATGCGGTTGAGATTGACCGGATCAAAGCTGTATTGAAGGAAGATGTGCGTAGCTTATTATAATCTTCATTATTCCGCTGTTCTCACCTTCATGTGCAGATGGATAGGCGCGTGGTATTGGAACTTCAAAAGGCAGCTGTAGAACATGACCGAGCTCTTGCAGATATAAAACAGGAGCATCTTAAAGAGGTCGCATTTGGCTACTCAGTTTACAATCCAAAAAGGCGCACACTGACAGGTGGATCTAGATGTCCAAAGTGATTTCCAATGCAGAAGGCGCACGGCAATTGGAGATGCTGGCTGAAAAGATTGCGGATAGCTCTCGATTCGTGGACTCTATGCAGCAGCGACTAGAAAGCGATCATTCCTATAGTGTAAAGGTACATGGCGTGTCAGATCACTTTTCGGTTTGGTGAGCGAATGCCTAATGTTATTCCCCTTCACGGCCAGGAACGTGAAGCATCTTTCCAAGCACGGGAGCGTCAGATCAATGAAGTATGATATAAATATCGTCCAGTATCATCCCTTTAGCATTAACGTCTATTCTTGTGACAGATGCAAAAGCACTTGATTGACCAACAACGCGAACTTGATGAAGAACGAGTCAAGGTTGTATCCACCGCTACCCTTTTTGCACTTGACAATGACTAAAATTCAACATAGATCCAAGATCTGGTTAAAACCATGGAGAACAACATGTGGGAGGCGAAAAAGCATCAGGAAGAAGAGCGAAGACGGATTGTTGAGGAAAGAGCGAGATTGGAGGCCCACATGGTATTTAGAACATTCCTGATGTGAAGTTGACGCGGGAGACATGACAGATTTGTGTGCTGCTTTTTAGGCAGAACTCAAAGCGGATAAAGACGAGACACTTGCGCAACTCCATACCGAACGCGTAGAATTCCTGAAATCCAAGGAAGAATGGGCGTTAGAGAGGCGCAGAATCACGCAACAAATCGCAGAGGTCAGTCGGCATATGGCCGATGAGCGCTTGCTGAGGTACTCACATTTGTTGTGCAAATAGGAACGAAAAGTTCTGGCTATGGAAAGAGCAACCATAGAATCCCAAAAGCACGCAGTGGTGGAGCTTGAGCGCGAGGTAGAGCAATTACGTGCGCGAGAAGAAACCCAACTACACGCTGGTGAGTCCGTGAACGCATTTCTCATCTAAGACATACCTCTCACGCTGCACCGGCAGATCGGTTGATTCTCGATCGCGAAACTCACAACCTGCATTCGCGCCTCACGGATATTCACAAAGAAGCTGCCGCTCTCAGAGCAGAAAGATTACGATTAGATGCCCTTAGAGCCCAATTGGATGCAGAAAGAAGTTTGTTCGAGGCAGGACGGGATGCTACTGAGCGAGCCGTAAGGGAGGCGGTAGGCATGAGGGATGTTGCAGGTATATTAGCTTTTGAGCGAGCCGTCACTACCAGCCATCTGAAGATTTTCACAGTGAAGGAACGGCAGCAAGCCCACCAATTCCATTCGGAAGCAGAAGAAGCCAAGTTAGCTTTAGAAGCCAAAAAAACCGAGGTTTGCGCTCTGAAGGAATGGTCAATAAGCGAATTTTATTTTTGATGGTTGATTCACGCAGCTCGAAGCCGAACGCAAACGTTTAGAGCAAGAACGTAAACGCTTCCTTGAGGAGCGAGTGGCATTGGCTGACGAAAGACGTAAAAGCCAGATCCGAACCATGTTAGGCAAATCGGATCAAGAGGTAGGATGGCCCTATTCGACTATGCCCGATTTCCTTGCATACGAATCTGATGCTGCTATTGTTTGGTATAGCAACTCCAGGTCCCACCATCAAAATGGACAACGTCGCCAACGAATCCATTGCCCAGCGCCCACGAAACGACCAATAATATGCGGACAGACTCCGCTCCGACTTCCTCCACAGTAAAACCTTCATACAATATGTCAAGCCAGCCCCCCAATCTCCCAACGAACATCAATCTTACGTCTGCACGGCAGCTCTTTTCAAAACTCAATCGATTTGTTGGTGGCCTCAGAGATGTACGTAATCTATCATCATACTGTTGCTTAATTTTGACAATTTGTTAATTGTCTAAACAGTCAGAAGCAATTCTGGACGACCAATTGCACTATCTGGTGACTTCGAACGACCGTCGCGGCAGGACTTGGACTGGATCTAGGTTGCAGGGGACAAACGATGGCGATTCTGTGTTTCTGCGAAGGGACGGTGTTCAGGTGGTGTGATGGGTTCTTCATGTAATATTTGTACTTTTATATCAGACCTTCTTGCATCGCTGTGACTGAACCGTATAAATGAATCGAAGAAACACAAAGGCCATTGATCCTTTGGCGAGGTCCAATAAAAATATTTTGCACAATCAATCACATCTAATTTATCCCATTCTGCGCTTTAAACGCATCCCACCCTTTATTCAACGTGCTAAATACCGCATTCGCAATCAATCGATGCTCAACTGAAGAATCTTGGCTTAACTGGAGTAAAGATAACAATTAGAGACCGGCTCAACCCAGGACCAAAAGAAAAGTTGTAGTCACCTTGTCAGGATGAACCCTCCCAACTGCTCTCATGTACTTCACTTTGACCTGTTGAGGGGTTATCAACTCTGAGAGGTTGATTGTTTTCCACTGGAGTTCAGGCCAGAGAACCAAGTCGAGGGATGAGAGAAGCGCTCGGAGATTATCCTCTTTACCGCGTCTCCAACGATTAATCTAAGTGGAGTTATAAAGAATGAATACATGTCCACTCTATATATACCATACCCATTAAATGCTACCTGATCGTCAATTTGGTCCTTAAGAGCGAGCTTCATAGCTTCCTCATCTTCGGATTGCTGATTTTGTTCGCGTAGTTTTTGGACGGCTGTATTCACCGCATTCGCAACGTACGGATCCATGGGTCTACAGTAACTGTTAATTTACAAGCATGACTGCGAAGCGCGAGATAGATCGATACTCACTTTGATGAACCTTCGAAACCAGCCATATCTGCCAAAGCATTTCGTTGCGGTTTCGATGCAGTAGAAACTGCTGGGGGTGGAGTCGATTTGGCGGCCACCTCAGGAGGTTGTAGCGCTTTGTTGGCCCTCGCCAGCCCTTGGCTAGCCGCTTTCACACTTGAATCGATCGCCATCACCATTCGATAATCGTCGCGGGCACTTTCCCACCTTTCCAACGCTTCCCAAGCAGTGGCTCTCCGCAACAGGGCCTTCAGGTCCTTTTTATCCAATTCGTGCACTTGGTTGCAGTCTTCCACCGCTTCTCTATAATTTCCAGTTTTCAGGCGTGCCGCTGCGCGATTGTTGTACAAGGCGACTAGGTTCAAATGGCGAGCAGGAAGACAATTGATGGCGGCAGAGTAGGATGTCTCGGCATCTGCAAATTGTCCTTGCTTGAAGAACTCATTCCCTTTCGTCTTATGCATGTCCGATTCACTAAGTTGCTGCTGTGTTGCCACAACTGCTGGTGGTGGCGGGGTTGGTTGGCGAGGTGGTGGATTTTGAAACACGGGCTGGGGTGTAGAAGGTCTTCGAGGAGTGCTCGATGACTGTGGATGTTGCTGAAAGAGGGTGGTTGCGGGAGAAGCTGACTTGGCGGGTTGTGGACGCGACTTTGGCACATTTTCCTCATCCGAAGAATCATCACGGAAGCGGCTGAGTGGGGCATCTGCCCCCCGCTGGTAGGGAGAATGTCGTCGGAGATCGTCCTCCTCGTCACTCTCGTCCCTAAAACGCTGGTGACCTTCCCTTTCTCGCGCTGCGTAGTATTCGCTCTCATCCCCATCACGTCCAAAGCTTTCCTTCCTTGACCTCCCAATTGCAGCATTCTCTCTTTCTAACTGGGCTCGTTCAACCGCCTCCGATATTTTCTTTTTTGAAAAGGCTAGCATGGATTTCGCATTGCTGATAACGGACGCACCAATAGCAGTAGCAGTCTGCACAAGTTTCTCCTGCGTCAAGCCAGTCCGGTCTGATCCTGCACTAGGTGCGCGACCGTGATCTGCCTGGGTTTTACGACGTGACCCTGGATAATCCGAGTCGGACGATTCGTCTTCATAGTCATCGCGAAATTTGGCCACTCGGTGTGCATTTGGTCGCCCTTCACCGCTTTGCGAGGGTAATCCCTGCTGCCGAGTTGGAGATCCCCGCTTCAATTGCTGCTCTGCTTCACGATTTTGCACTAGCATGTCAATGGCCGCTGACACATTGTTTCCCGTAGCATCCAACGCGGCCTTGGCGGACTGATCATCAAAGCCCATGTCCATAATCTGAGCAATACCAAAATCTAGTGAGGTGTTATCATTCGACGGGGTTGATAATGGAGGTGATAATGGTCGTGCTTGCACTGGGGGCGGCGATGGTGCTTCGGAAACAGGTACCGGTTTACTCACAGGCTTTGCCATGGCAGACACGGGCTGGGCCAGTAAACCAAGTGGATTATCATCTTCCGTGACATATCGGGATGTAGTTCCAGTAGATACGGGTTGCGACAGATATGCCAAGTCAAACGGATCGTCAGCTGCATTAACATTCGCAGGACTAGAAGAAGGTCCGCGTGCAAGGAAATCCAGGTCCCATTGTCCAGTACCATTTCCACTCTGCAGATTCATGCTTGCAATATGCTGTTGGTGCGGCTGTGCATTAGTCAACCCCACGTTCATACTTGGCATGCCTGATGACTTCTGCGCAGGAAGAGCTGTGGGCGATGAAGGCTTATTCAACGTATCTCCGAACAAGTCGGAGAAATCATGCTTTGTTGGAACCCCAGCATATGTTTTGTGTCCACTCGGAGTACTTGCTCCACTACTCCTGCCGGATCCTGTTGGTAGTCCTGGCCCAAGAGCATCAAGAAAGGCTGCTGTTGACGGATTGGCCGTACTTTGTCCCTTCAATGATTGTCCGCCAGGTGCAGGTGGTGTAAAAGACCGCTGATGCGGTTGTTGAAAGTTTGACACTCCACCAGCTGCCGTTTGCTGTTGTCTCTGCTGTTCTTGAGCACGTCGCTGTTGCTCCAACGACACGTTTGCCATACTCTGTTTGGCTCCACTCCCAAATGACACCAAGTTACCGAAAACGTCGTCAGGCCTTACGCCTGCTGGAGGTACCGGAGACGCCGAGCGGCTATTTAAAGGTGCAGCAGGTTTCAGTCCACTGGTTCCCATGCCTGGGACTCCACCCACAGTTCTCGGAGACAGGCCGTTGTGATATTGTCCGCTAGAAGGAGGAATGAAAGGGCTCGTAGCGGCAGCCATTCGAGGAGTCGAGGATGGAGAGAAGGAAGGTGGTGTTCGGTTTTGTGGAGTGCTTGAGCCGGATTGTGAGGCGGAGAGTTGGCTGAGGGGAGTGTTTGACCTTGCAGATGGTTTTGTGGCGAGCCCCGCCGACTTCCACGCAAGGTCTCCAAGGTCGTCCATGTTGGAGGGTCCAAGACTGCACGCCTGCTTGCCGTTATGGTCCAATTAATTACCTCCCGCTGCGAGATGCTTGAGTTGTTTTGAATAAATTCGGTGAAATGAATTGGGCGAGACAAAGGTGCCAAGTTATTGCTTAGCACATTCAACATGCCCCCTCCGCATTTCAAGAGGGCCATTCGTCACTTAGAAGAGCGCGTTCGTTTTTCGCAATCTTTTTCTCGTTTCGCAAACTCATCAAAAGGACAAAACGACGGACAAGACTCTTAAAAGTTCTTTACAATGGAAGTAACGTCTCGCTTGAAGCCGGGAGAGGTGGACCTCGGGGTGAGTCCTGGAATCTCAAAAGGTTTAATTGATGCCAAAGGAGCTCAATTGTTGGTTTACGACAGACAACCATCATGGCCGTCCAATTTGCAGATGGTGTTATCATTGGTGCCGACTCACGGACAACAACCGGCTCGTATATTGGTATGCCACTCAACCCCCTCATAGACTTGTTTTTTGTTTGTCTTTCTAGCATTGACCTTTATCTGACTTGGTTTTCAAACAGCCAATCGTGTTACCGACAAGCTGACGTCCGTCCACGACTTGATTTACTGCTGCCGAAGTGGAAGTGCTGCAGATACACAGGCTGTGGCAGATATTGTGCACTACTACTTGCAACTCTACGCGTAAGAGTGGCTAGAGATCATGTTGCCGAGATTCAATCACAAGGCTCTAACGCTGCCGTTTCTTTCACAGTGTCCAGGAAGGCGAACGCCCTCGCGTCCACACAGCAGCCTCCCTCTTCCAAGAACTTTGCTACCAGAACAAGGACGCACTGCAAGCGGGTATTATCGTCGCCGGATGGGACAAGTATGACGGACCCTCCGTGTACGCCATCCCTTTGGGCGGATCCATTCACAAACAACCTTTCTCGATCGGTGGATCTGGGTCAACCTATATCTACGGGTACTGTGATGCAGCATATCGGGAGGGAATGGACCGAGACGAAGCCATAGACTTCACCAAAAAAGGTATGCAATCGCCCATGGTTTTTGATTCTTGAAGGTATTGATCTAATTGTGCATCTCATCATCCAGCTATCGCGCTTGCAATGTCGAGGGATGGATCTTCGGGAGGTGTCATTCGGTTGGCGGTTATTACAAAGGATGGTGTAGAACGGATCTTTGTCCCGGGCAACAAGCTCCCCAGGTTCTGGGAAGGTTAATGTTGAGAATAGAGATCCGCCTTGTTTTAAATGAATTTCTTTTTGTGAATAATGGCGAGCTGGTTGGTGTCACCCTTTCTGATGAAAAGCCAAAATGCAAAGCAAATAGTCATGGCCGATGAGCTGCGTGTTGTCAAGCATGGCAAGAGGGACATTGGCACTCATGGCACGATTCAGGGTGGCACTTCGCTCAGGCTGGATCCAGCGCGCGGTATCTCATGGACTTGTGCTGAAAACCTAGACGTGAATCCCGGCACTTTGATAGTGGGTAGAAGCCGGTGCGGACGTTTGGGTCTGACGATCGGCAATGCTTCATTCCGTACAAAACCAGGATCCTTCATATGTTGCTACTTTTTGTCTCTGTTGCATTGATTTGAAATATTTCTGGTGTGCTTGATGACCATAGTATTGACGCCATATTGCTGCCATCGCTAGCAGAGATAGTCCAAAACTGGAACGCCAAAAAAAAATCCTACTGAAAGAACATGAGGAGAGCGAGGTTCGAACTCGCGCATCTTTCGATACTAGAGCCTAAATCTAGCGCCTTAGACCACTCGGCCATCTCCCCGTTGAGAAACACACTGTCTGCGTATACACATATGCATTGTAGCTCTCGCTTTGGAATGTCTCAAACCCTCGCGAAATGCATCAACGCCAAACTTAATATTGCTATGTAAGTGTGACAACTGCTACATATACCCATGTATATGATTCCATGCAAAATATATCTATCTGTCTATCCTACAACCACTTGACGTCCTGTCTAACACGCCAACAACGTAGCTATGAATGATTTACTTGCTATGCAAAGTCGTTCAATCTATCTAGAAACAGAACATATCCAGATGACATAAAGCTTACAAAGTCTGCCCAACCGCCGAATAAAGTGATCGATGCTTTTCGTATCGTCGTTCCATCGTATCGGATGGTTCTTCATTCGTGTGTGTTGTGACAACAGGGTCGGGCCGCACCCATCCTTGGGAATCTGCCTGTGCTGCCTGTGCTGAGCTGCTCAAATCGTACCCGGTCGATGCCGGTTGTATGGGACTCATCACCGGTTCATAAGGAACATAACCGGTGGTTGTTACCGGGTATGCTGGAAATACGGCGGCATCATACCCATTGCCTGGTTGAGGCGTTGACACTGTCAAATCCACATCCACTAATGGTTGAACTGGATATGGTACAGAAGCCGTGGCATACATCCCAACTTGGTGCGGAGCGGATGATCCATAGTACGGTGACCTTTGGATTGTCGGTCGTCCTTCTCCTGGGAGGCCAACCGGGGGGATTGGCGATGGACCTCCATATGGGCTTCGGGGGCGTGTGCTGAGAAGGGTATCGGTGGATGTGGCAGGTGTTTCCATTGGACCGCCGCCACCACCTCCGGGAAGAAAGGGGTCTTGCTCGTTGGCACGTTTCTTGAACCTTTTACGGTTGTCCACAAACAATCCCACCGCAAACACACCCGCCAGAAAGAACAGCACCGCGGCGACTGTGATGCCTACAATCCCTCCTGTTGTTTGAGCCCAATGTTCCGTCGTGGATTGCGGAAGGGCAGTTGCGGTCGGTGACGTTGAGCTAATCAGAGTACGTGGGGCGGGCGTTGGATCCACTACAACGTCTACAATAGACGTGATCGTCCTTTGTGTTGGGCCATCCTGAATCACTGTTGTGATGACACGTTGAGTTGTCCGCGGGGGTGGAGTAATGGAAGGTGGGGATGGTTCTGGTGTATTATCTGGGGTTCGTTGGGATGAAGTTGGCGGTGAAGTGTCTGAAGATGCAGGAGGGGGAGAGGGCGATGGTTGGGTGGTAGTCACCGCATTATCGTTCACATTGGATGTCGGGGATGGAGAGGGAGGTGGCTGAGTACTTGCTGACCCCGGTTCTTGATTATTCTTTTCCAAATACCATATAAGCCTTCAACACAATTCAAGGCATTTTGGGTAAGCATTTCACATACCGTGAGCGAGCCAGACGGAACCTCACTCGACCCTGGCACAACAGGGTCAGCCATGACGGGCCGAAGTAGTTGCACACCTGCCTGGGTAGGCTGTGTTGGTTGCTCCTGCTGCTCCCATGGGGGTATCCACCCTTTCGGAGGTTCAGGTAGGGATGGAGAGCGGAACACGTCCAAAAGTTGAGCCATGGTGAGCGATCGTTGAGCGAAGTGGCGTGCGTTGCGATGCCGTTGGCTAAAGACCCCTCTGTATCCTTTCAATGCCTTCAAGCTCCCTCAATCACCTCGACGTCAGTCCCGGGTCAAAGAACCTAAAATTCTTCAAAACCAACAATGGCGGTTGTGGATGTCGACGTAAAAGTTGGCATCGCCACGAATCGCTTTCCTGCGCAAACCCAATTTAATGGAAATGAATTTCACAGCCCCCTGGTTCACTCCGTTGTCGTCGTCGTTCATGCGAGATATTTGGCACAAGGACCACACAAGAGTGACAATTCGAGCAATCATCTTGATATTTCATCAGCAATAAATGTACTCATACACGATGCTTATAGCAATATAAACTTCAATCCCTTCCATATCTTGCTCCTGATGATTGTTCGTTCCTTCCAAATGCGCAAAATATGCCTACTAATAACGACGGCTTGTTTGAATTCACTTTCAGTATCTAAAAGAGAGTAGGCATAGTGTAAGATAGGTCTTAACAAGAGAGAATAATGAAATGGTATTCACCGATCCCAATCACTCAGCCAACCTGCCTCCTAACCCTTGTGTCCCTTTGATTTTTCGTCCAATTTCTGTCTCATCCTGTTGAGTTCATCATTGAGCAAGGCTAACTGTTCCTGGATATTGACCGCTGGAGTCTGCTCGGGTTCCGCAGGTTCCGCAGGAGGGGGGTACTGTTGGGGAGGTCCCTCTCCCATTTGAGACGGCGGAGCCCAGGGATGATGTGCAAAGAATTGTGGGGGCGGAGCGTAAGCTTGCGGTGGATAGGTCCCTACGAGGACCGAGGTGGATATCAGCATCAAATTCACAAAGTGAACAACGAGGAGGACGAGTAAGGGCAAGATCAGAATGCCCAACACCACACAGGTCCAAAAAGCGCGTGGACAGATCCTACCCGTGAATATTCCAGGCATCATTTGTAGGTTGGGCTGCATCATATAGTACGGTGGTTGTTGATTGGGGTATTGTTGCGGTACGAACTGGTGTCCGTGGGAAAACATTGGGATGCCTGTCGGAGGCAAAGGAATGCCAGAGGGTATGAAGGGATTCTGCACTAGCTGACCGGTGGGATTTTGATGCACCTGTTCAACCCCATCCAAGGACGGTAAGACTTTTGCACGATCTCTAGTCGAAGTATGCTCTTCAACCCATTTTCGAAACGGGACGTAGAACACGTCCCCGTCGTCTTCTTCCTTGACATAGAGTTTGCGATCAAGGGCCGCCAGCTCACTGTAAGTAGTAACATGACCCTCCACTGGAACGAATTTTACAATGTTCCCACCGGTCACGGACTCATCACGATAGAAGATGTTGGATATGGGAGGAAGGTTGGCGGACCCGAGGAGAAGTAGAGTGCTGGTCGACGGTAACCACCCATGAGAGAACCTAACGGCACTTGCTTTCTGTTCCCCGGCTTTCTGTCCTGCTCGATTCAGTGCTGAATTGCGAATCTCCACATTTCGTTCAGCCGTTGCCTTTTGACGAGCATGCTCCAAAGCTTTGCGCTTCTTTGCAGCAATCTCAGCGGCCTCCGCATACTTTTTGGCCCAATCATTGGACACGATTACCGTACCAAGTTTCCATTGTTCGGATCGCATGCTGGGACTGGATGTGGTGTCGAGAAAAACTGCAAGAAGGTTCTCATAGAAGCTTGAATCGTTGGCTTGCTTCCAAGAAACTGAAGGTGGACAGCGCTCAAAGGCTAGCATGGGGATGAGGCACAGACGAGTGGTGCCCGAGGAAGCTCTTCCGACCTGGTTCTAAGTTTAAGCACGAGAAGTCATAAGTTATGAATAAGAGCCAGAGAGCACCTTTAGCATTCCGTCCTCGTTGACAAACTCTCCGCTGAGATTCATTCCATCATCAGATTGAACCAAAAAGAATCGAGCTCGGGGATCAGCCAACATCTCCTGTTGGACTTTTACGATATACGAATCATCGCTAGTGACGCAAATACTGAAGGGAAAGTATGAACATCTTTTCTGCTCGATATCTTGAAACCCGGGCAAGAGTAGTACTCACCGGTCGCTCAAATCCAATCCCTCGGAATCATCCCTCGCAACAAACGTAGTAGTTCCCAATTCCTCGTCCTTGCCATCACGACCAACAACCAATTTTCCACACCAAACTGGAAAGGTCCACCTGAGCTCCCCTCTACTCGCGGTTTCCTTTACTCGAGGCAGCTTGACTTCCGAGAGTTGACCTTCCTCCATTTCTTCCTCTCTGGGCACTCTAAAAGACTTTTTGGTGCCATTCCACAAGAGGACTCGCTGCATAGACGTTTCTGCGTTATAAAGGCGGTCAGTTTTTACGGGAAGGTTGATCCAGGTGCGTATGACCCGTTTGAGGACGGAAAGACCTTTCTGTGTACCTGGTGCTGCGAATGGTTCGGAATGTGGTGTGAAATGGAATGCTGGTGCTGCGGGTGGTTCGGAATGTGGTATGAAATGAAAAACACTAGATTTCGGAGGTGAACGGACCATATCTTTCAAATGGTCGGGGACATCATAATATCCACGCACAGGATTGAGGTCGGCTTGGCCGCCCCATCCTTGCTGCCGGTCACCCAATGTGTTGATGATGAGGTCCGGTTGTTCGTGGTTGGATTGTTCCGGGCTCAAATAGAGAGGTGGATTTTGCTCGTAATCGCGGATGCGGCGGGCTAGTTTGCCTTTCGGGCGGTATATGTGGTCAACTTTATCTTTGCGTTTGCGATTCTTGAGTTCGGTCCATCGGTCCAATGGCTCGTTGGTATTGGACTCAGATGCGAGGGCCGGTGTCGGTTGAAATGAGATTCCAAGACCCGCCTGTAATGTCGGATGGGCTACTTGGCGGGAAGTCTGGACAACATCATTGGAATTTGAATCATTTCCATTTGCTGGCGCTTGCTGCACAGGTTCGGAATCATTCTTATCATCAACCCCGACTTTGTTGTGCTGTACTCCGGCTTGCTTGCCATCTTGCGGACGGACCTCCTTCCCTTGTGCACAGTCACCAGACGGCACCGTTGTAGTTGAATCTTTTGCATCTGCTTGCTTCTCGCTCTTCCGAGAGGAAATATCGACAGCAAATTCAATCTTGACTGTTTGGCGGTCGAGGATCTGCCCTCCTAAGGCGGCAATGGCGGCTTGAGCACTGCGAATACTGCTGTACTCTACAAATGCCGTTCTAACAAATAAAGAGACAAGAAAGTCCGTACCGCCCCATTAGCCAATGCGAGATGTACAGAAAGGTGGGAACCAGTCACGATGGAACTTACCCACGACATCCTCCATCTTGATCTTTGATAACTCTACATCCGACGACATTCCCCACTTTTCCAAACATCAGTTTCAACCCGTCCTCGGTCGCTGAGAGCGGCAAATTCGATACATGCAACGTAGATGACGGGCCATTCCTGTTTCGATGCTCGGCTTCACTCGAACGACTCCGGCCATATCCATTACTGTTGACATGCTGGCGTACCGATGACTGGCCTTGCGGGGGATTCGTATCTCCAGAACCAGGAGGCTTGAACATGGGCACAGACGAACTCTCCTTCGTCGATCGATCCCTACTTGGTTCAGTCGATCGACTCCTAGTAATCCCAATACTACTTCCAGATGATCTTTGCGCGGGTTGAGTGGCTATTGGAGTAGGAGGACGGGATATGTTAGCTGCCGCTGTCCCATCCTGTGTCGGTTTCTGCTTCCCCGGCTCATTAGCTGGACGCTTGGCTATACCAATCATTGTAATTGGTGGTCGTTGGGATGTTTCACCTTGCGAGGGTTCGGCTGGATGGATAGGAGGAGTGAGTACCGGCGCTGATGACTGTCCATTTTGTTTCTAACCATCTTTGGTAGGTAACCTGCCTCGTACAAAAAGGTTGACTCCCGAAGATTGCGTCAAGACAGACGACGACGCACTGGGATTGGGTTGAGATGTAGGCTTGTCCGATTCAACCAGGTACTGTCCGATTTTCTCGTCGTAAACTGGGTCATCTCCCCATGCCATATTGGCGTTCTTTGACTGTATTCTTGCTTTTCTGGCCCGAAAGAGTCTGTCTCTTACAGTAAAGGATGTCCACTTGGCACGCAGGTGTTGAAAAAAACAAATGTCAAAGTCTGAATGACAAGCTAGCCCCGAACTACTAGGAAAGGTAAATCCTGACTTCTCCACACATATCGACTCACTCATAAGTCAGGGCCACCTGTCAACGTCAAAAAGTCTATTCTGATGGGGTGGGAAAGACATAATGGCGCGTGCAAAAAGCTTCCTTGGCCGATGCTTGTCGCTCTTCTTTGGCGCTCATCTCATCGAAGGCTGCCAAAATGGGACAATTCAGTTGATATATCATCCGTAAAAGCCATAGAGTGCTTGATGGACAAAGAATACCCTGTCGCATATCTGAGCTAATAATGGTTGCCGCAGATGTAGGAGAAACCATCTTCTTTTAGCGTCCAGCCATAATCCCCAAACGCAGCATTTGCCCTGTGACTCAAAAACGCTGTGCATTAAATACACCAGGACGCCATGCATTCAGAAAACAATGACATAAAAGGCAGTCAGATTGGTATTAAGAATAATCCACCACAAAACGCAGCACACGACACACCCCGCCCTCCAAATACTCATTGCATTATGATTCTAAACACGCAGGATGCAACTTCCCCGACACCAATCACCCAAAACTCTTCCCATCTCGCGTTTAGTAGTAAATTGGCGACATTGCAGACCGGACACGGTTGAAGTCAGGAAGGGCCTCAACGGGACCATATCCAACCATGCACACTTCCTTGTCGTAAATGTACTCGCGAGCAACCTTCATCACATCCTGAGCAGTCACCTTCTCAATCAAGCCATCAATCTCCCAGGGAGTCAGACGCTTGCCGTACACGAGCATCTGACGACCAATGTCCTCAGCCACAGGGGTGGTACCGTCAAGAGCAAGCAAAAGCGAAGTCTTGAGCTGGTTCTTGGCACGGAAGACTTCCGTAGAAGTGACGCTCATGGCAAGACGGTGCCATTCTTGCTGGATGTAGTGTACCAAGTCGTCAAGGTGCATCGTCTTCTCGGACACAGCGTAGACTCCAAAGAGACCAGTGTCTGAGTACGAAGTGTTGAAGGACATGAACGAGTTGGCCAAGCCCCATTTGTGGAGGTTCTGAGCAAGCTTGGAGGATACGTGAGGAGCAGCACCCAAAGAGCGGTCCCAGCTACCAATGATGGACTGAGCAACAAGAAGAGCCCAGTAATCGGGGCTTGTCCAGCTCACTCCCTCAACGGCCAGAGCAACGTGGGCAGTGGGGTGGTCATCGTAACGGGCACGAAGATCGGAACCGACAAACTTTGCCTTGGGCTGCTTGGCCCTTGATTCACCAGGGCTCATCTTACCGAAATGCTGCTCCGCAAGTTTAACGAGGGCCTCGTGGTCAACACCACCAGCGGCAGAGAGAACCATGCGCTCAGGGGTGTAGTTGGTTGAGATGTAGTCTACCAAATCCTCACGGGTGATGCTCTTAATGTTCTTGGCAGGGCCGAGGATAGTACGTCCAAGAGGGGAGCGCTGGAAGGCGGATGCGTGGAGGTGGTCAAACACAACTTCCTCCTTTTGCTTGTCAACCTCCTCAGCTTCACGGAGAATGACATCACGTTCTCGTTCAATGGCATCCTGACTGAGAGTCGATCCTTGTAGGATATCAGAGAGAATCTCTACGGCGGTGTTAACATCCGAAGAGAGCGTTTTTGCATAGTAGACCGTTTGCTCGCGGGAAGTGTATGCATTCAAGTGACCACCAATGTTCTCAATTTGAGTCTCGAGCTGGACTTGGGTCCTGCTCTTAGTACCCTATTTATCAAGAGAAGTGTGTGTTATTCAACCCGACCCAGGCGACTTCGTTGTAATTTATATGTACCTTGAAAGCCATGTGCTCCAAAAAGTGTGCGGTACCATTCGTCTTCTCCGTCTCAAAACGAGAACCAGCATCGATCCACACACCAACAGTAGCAGTCTGGTAGTTGGGGTTCGACTCGGTGGCAATAGTGAAACCGTTGGCCAGCTTTGTCACTTGGGTTTCGGGGACATTGCCAAGGGATTGGGGGTAGGTGTATTTCAGGGTGCGGGTGGACGGGCTGGGCTCAGTGAGGACTGCACTGCCGGTACCGCCAGTGTTGTACTTCCGTCCAGAAGTGCGGAGCTGTAAACGAGAGGAAAAGTAAGTCAGCGGTCCCGGCCATCCGTGTGCTATCTCCATGCATGTTCAGCCTTCTATTTCTAGACAATTTCGCCACTCAGTTTCAATCGATTGGCGAAAGCCAAGCGGAACGCTTGCCATCCCGAAATCTCCGTAACAATCACCAGAGCATCCGCCACATCCATCGCATCGTTCCCGTCCAAAGCACTATAATGTCCTCCTCTCAAAAATCTCAAAAGAGAACACGTACCGCCGCCCTGCTCGACGCCAAGAACCTAGTTGACCTCAACATTGTAATTTATTGCGCGAGAGAGTGAAATTCGGTTTGACACAAGCGGGTTGGGAGTGGCCTCACAATCTCGTCTTGAGGTATGAAAGGCGTGCGAGTCTTTGCTCTGTTCGCGGGGAGGACCAGAAGGTGAGCAGGAAGATGTGGAGGGATGCCGATGAGGTTGGGAGGGTTCCCACGCACGCACAAAGAAAGAAGCCTTCAACTTGGAAAGCTGCGTGTTCTCCTTCCCCATTGCCATGGCGGCGAGAGTTCTTACTATGACTGTGCCATTTATTATGCGCCACGTGTATTCCCATTGGATGAAAGAGAGTGACGTATGCAATGGAGATCACCGGATTTCACCGAAAGGGCTTTTAAGTCTTGCAGGGAGGTGGTCTCCAAGTTTGCAGCAAATGCCATGCAATGCAAGCGATGACTGGGGGTTTAGGCTGTAGGATGGGTGTAGAGTGCAACAGGACCAAGAAGACTTACAAAATGGATATAGATATCGCGATTTTAAGAAGCCATGTTGCAGTACAAAGATATCTTTTGGGCAATTGATGAGCGTCGTCTTTGGTGGTTGTTGATCGTTTAAAGCAGTTGTTAAGTGCATCCTTTCAGAGCGAAACCGTTTAAACATACGTCTTATCTCAATACCAATGAATGTGGCTTATCATGTTGCATAAGCGCGCACCCCGAACATCCCGACAACAATATTTCTATTTGAGATATCATGTATTTTGCAGTAAAACATAGCAATGGGTTTATCAAAATAATAGGACATTATTCTATGTATAATAGAGTTTATCAAAGCCCACGATGCCTTTGTTATGTTCACCCAACAAGGGCCATTTCCCCCTTCCACCCCAACAAGATCCTCTCTCTTGACACGGGCGCAGGGGCAGCACAAATCATTTTCCGCTGAGGCATTGAAATCAGTTTGAGGTTCCTTGGAATGTTTGCGTTGGGAACGCGACCGAGCGAGGTGGTTCTGCTCCGGCTGTTGGAGGTGGTTGTAAAGTGGTTGTGGAGGGGAGTGGGCATCTCCTGTGGTATGGTATGTGATGAATGTGCTGAGTGTAAGATGACTGAAATGCAGGGAAGCGACGGATTGCTGTCTTTTATACTTCAAAAAAGGGTTGTTGATACTTGCGCATTTTGTCTTTGCTGGGCTACTGGAATGTCCCAAATACAAGCATTCAAGAACGCCTTGGACGCCAACGTGACATTCTGGAAGACTTTGCATAGTTCGTTGCCTCCCCTGTTTCAACTCAACGGATGCACGTACAATATGTGTCGCTGCTTTGTTTGTATGGCTGTATCGCACACTCGGAAGTTTGGATAGCTACAAGAGGCGCACCTTGTGCCGAATTTGGAACGCGACGCCCTTAACAATGGGATTTGTTTGAATGCTTGCATTTATGTTCGTTTGTTAAATGACAGCGTCCATGAATGGGGACGAGTTTGTGGCTGTCCTGCCAATGCGGCGCTTGGGAAATGAGACATCTAATGCTGGGTTAGGGTCGTGGCAATCCAATCTTGTGCATGAGTGGTCACCCTTATACGGACGCGTTACCTTTGTTTACGGGTTCGCGCTATGCTTACGGGATCTCCGTATTTGCAGGATCTTTTGTCTCCCGGGTCTGCGCAAGCCCGAGTAACGACTGAGTGGTTTTCCATGTCAGGAAGGTAACATACACCTCATGATAGCTCAGGATGCAAAAGACAGCTTTCGACATGTTCGTGAACACTGGTACTCCGTGCATGCCTAGATTGCAATTGGGGATGGTACTTTGCAATACCCGCATTCTCATCCGTGAGAACTCATAGAATCAGTTTGGATGCATAAACTTCTCACAAAGCATTATCGTCAAAAGACGGCAACGTACGAGACAAGCATGGGTGTAGATTGTGACAATAGATGGTAGTTATTCCGAAGTGAGTTTTGCTCTGCTACAAACATGACTCATTCTTCCCTAGCAAAAACTTCCCCTTTCTTTTCTTGACTAATCTCTTTATGCTGCACGGGTTCATTCTCTGCTTGCTCATTTTGAACCTCCAAAGCCTTCTCCAAATTCCGGAGAGCCCTCCTCAAAAGTCTCAGATTCCTCTCATCAATTCCCAAAAAGTTTTTCAAAACACCATACTTGTACCATTCTTTCTTATTAACGAACCGCTCCCGGTACTCATACACCACTCTGCGCATTTCCAAGTCGCTTTCGAGCGCGTTGTGGAGGGTTTGAATATCGTGAGCTTTGGGTGAGGGGACCAACGTGATGCGGATAGAGGGAAGTCCTCTGGTACCGTCAGTTTGAATAACGTTAATGTACCGCATCTGGGCGGACTGGATGTGAATGACGATGGGATCTGTTGCTGGGTTTTCGGACGCCTGGTGGACTTGATTGAATGTTTCGGTGAGCGCTTTGTCGAGCGCAATAGTGTCCGGGGGTTGAGTCCACGGCGGAATGTGGTGATGTTTGTGGTTGGCCCATTGGTGAGTGGAGAGCTTGAGCTTTTTGACCATGGTGAGTTGGATAACAATGGCGAGGATATGGGTCTGATGGGTGTGAAACAGCGACTGGCCTCTCACTTTTTTGTGATATAGCAGCTATATTGTGACGGATCTGACGTCTTGGTCACCTTATTCTGTCATCCATCCAGCCATAAGTTGACCGATGAGCCCTCATGAATGTAAAGTCCCCCCATCTCGTGTGTGCCTTGTACGTAAAACCCAAAGGCTTACCAAAGAGTCGAGTGACATGTCCGAAACCTCACGTGATAAGGTAAAACACGCCACTAAGCCACTCACACATGTCGAACACTTTCAAGTGACCCTCAAAAGGGATCTTTTGATTCCCCGATTCTGTCCGATTGCCATGTAAAGAATTTTTGATGATCGGGTGTCATTTCCTTGTATTTTAACTTTTGTTAATTTCTGACGACGACGGCAACGAGGGAACATGAACCGGCAGACACCGTACTCATCACCCTCCCCACGCCAACACTCCAAACGACCGAAACGTTCGATTCTCTCCACCCTTCTCCACAAGCGCCCGTCATGGGTTCTCCCCTCCCTCTCCTCTCTCGCCTCCTCTTCGACAAAGTCGTCACCCGCGTCATCATCTAGTTCCTCCTCTTCGGCGTTTCAAGACTTTCTCCCAAGCGCCTATGAAGAAGCCTCGCTAGAAGAGACAGACAAAGTCTGGGACGCCGTAGACGTTCAATCTGATTGGCGAACGCGCGAAGGAGAGCATCAATGGGAGGAATGGGAGGACGCGCTGAATATGGGGTATGGTGGGGGAATCACGATGGAGAAAACACCCGCAGATTTGAGTTTACCGTCTGTGTATGAAATGGAACGGGATCGGGAGGAAAGGGCTTCTATTGCCAGTATGGATGCCGAAGACTATGAAGATACTTTTGAGGCATCGTATGCGGAAGCGCTTGGCTCCGCGGGGTTGAGTGATTGCTTGGATCAAAAATCCAAGGAACGCACCGCGACCTCTCAAAGGAGAGCAGTAGACCGAATTGCCAGTATTCTGTCGCATTTTAGTATAGGAAAGCAGTCCAAACGCAAATCTTGGGAAACCGTCTGGGTAGGATCTCATAATGGGAATGTGGGAGTTGGAGGGGACGGGCGGTAGGGAGCTCAAGGCTTATTTTTGGTTGCATTTTTTTATTTGGTTTTATAACTTATATTCGTGATGGGGTGGGTACTAGCTAATACTCTATGTGGTGTGGACATCCTCAGGTGTCTCATTCTCTTTTTTACATCTATATCTTGATAAATGCTTCCACTGAGCATCTAATCTATTCCTGCAGAGTTCATGGAAATGCTTGGGACGCATGGGATGATCGCCACGTAGGTCTTTGCCCCACCAACTTGTCAAGAGCCGCAGTGGAATGTTTACGAACACTTCTATATGAATGGAATCGTGTTTAGAAATCTAACTGCAAAACTTTGTTTGAATACTCTGAAATAACAGATTTAAAGCATGCAGAGGGTTATCTCTTAGACCATGGCTTCGCTCTCAAGGAATCTATCTGTCCAAGGATAGAATCAAGGTTTGCTTCTATCGGATGGGTGCCTGATTTGATGTGGAGGACCTTGTATCCATACTGTTGCAATAGAACGTTGGTCTTTGTCCTGTAGTAGTGTAAACTGAGAGATTTCGATAAAGGTTTTGTTCTTTAAGCAGATTTGGAAGATTGCATGGCGGACAAGTTTCTCCCAGCTATGTGGAATCACCGTTTTCTGAAAGGAATGAGTTTTGATGTAGTGTGCAATTACAATCGATATACCTAGGGACGATGTGCCCAACTGGAAACCCATGAACATGTATTGCCATCCGCTCCTATAACATCGCCCGTTTCTCTCCGTATAAATGCAATATCACAATCTGGTTTCTGGATGATGGGATTTTTAATGAAAAAACGTGTTCTTTTTCTTGTTGACAATCGGCCCATACTCGCATAAAATATATTAGCATGGAGGTTATTATTCAATTGTTATGCAATATGTTCTGTGGCATTCCACAGTGGTATTTTTGGGTATGGGATGCGGAGCAGACTGAAATATGACAATGCGGCGAGGAAATCTGACAGTTTGCTTTTTCTTGCTGCATTATTTTTTTGTCATTGAGCAGACTGACAAGCCAACCTTACGCCTGCAACTGGGAAGAGTCTAGCAGAGAGACAGATACGCCAGGAATATACCTATCGGGACGTGGCTCTCTTGAACGCATCTTGGTCAAGCAAACCGTCCGGCAAATATAAAGTCATCGCATGTTGCCAGATGGACCCATATCCATATATCGTCTCATCCAATCCATTCTGTTGTAGGATTCATGTCATTATCTCTTGTGGTTTGCTTCAAGAGGATGATACAAAAGTCCAAAACATTGTTGGTTTGTTTTGAAGCACACTTCAATCATCCTCCAATGATAGATATCACGTGACTGGGAAAACGGGGCAGTGACTGGTGCATTTATTTGAATTAATGCATTGAAACCAGCACATCATGTTTCTAAATCACGGCTATAAAGTCCCGCGCAGCACGAAAGTCTTCCCACGCGCTCGCCATCTAAAAGATGTCCGCAACCATCTTCCAGGAATTACTCAAAGACTTCTCGTTGATGGACATCACCACCTTTATCCATGAGAATCCCACAGGCTCATGGAAAGAGTACTGTGAGCTCAACAACATTGCGCATAGAGAGTTGTTGAGTCAATTGCCGACCAGGAAGGAAATCCGAAGCGCAGTCGATCTCTTGAGGAAACCGAAAAAAACAGAGGGTAAGTGTGTTCCTGTGAGATATTTTTGGCCCTGAAGTTTTGGGGCAGTAAGGAGATGATGCAACCCAAAGGTTGCGTGGGAGGATGGCTTCTCATCTGTCCTTGTGCCAGATGGGCAGACTCATCACCCCTGGCACGGTGGTCGTTCCCGTTAGGGCATGCCTCTCGCACGTGTCCGAGACACCGGGAAATATCCGGCGGATATCTTTCTAGGGCTCCTTTGTGAGGAACCGCCAAAGCACAGAAACTTCAGGGTTTTTGGGAGCAGGTGCTAACTTGTCATTCCCGTCTCGTCCATTATTAGGAGTATAACTTGTTCGTCTTTGGAAGCAATGGTGTTACGTAAAAGACAGTCGGTAAGTGCTTTCCTGTAAATCTTGTGGCCCTGAAGTTTTGGGGCAGTAAGGAGATGATGCAACCGAAAGGTTGCGTGGGAGGACGGCTCCTCTTCTGTGCTTAAATAAGCCAGTTGAGCAGACTCAGTCACCCCTGGCACGGTGGTCGTTCCCGGTAGGGTGTGCCTCTCGCACGTGTCCGACTATTGGAACACATCCGGCGGGATGGTGGTTTACGTAGTTACTCCTTATTGCTTTTCGTGCTTCGGTGGTTCGGGAGGACGGCTCCTCATCTGTGCGTTTGCCAGTTGAGCAGACTCAGTCACCCCTGGCACGGTGGTCGTTCCCGGTAGGGTGTGCTTCTCCCACGTGTCCGAGACTCCGGGAAATATCGGCGGATATCTTTCTAGGGCTCCTTTGTGAGGAACGGCCGAAGCACAAAAACTTCAGGATGTATGGTTCTTTTATCTAACGAATTCCCGAATGTGTCTATGTTTGGTGTAACCTTGTAGGTCAGCCCAGACCAGAGACGGCCCATTTATCGAGAACAGCACCTTTCTCATCGGGAGCGAGACCTCTTTGGGAGCAAGTGGCGCTATGTAGAAGACAGTCGGTAAGTCCTTCCCTGTTAAATCGTGTGGCCCTGAAGTTTTGGAGCAGTAAGGAGATGATGCAACCGAAAGGTTGCGTGGGAGGATGGCTTCTCTTCTGTGCTTATATAAGCCAGTAGGGCAGACTCATCACCCCTGGCACGGTGGTCGTTCCCGTTAGGGCATGCCTCTCGCACGTGTCCAACTATTGGAACACATCCGCCGGATGGTGGTTTACGTAGTTACTCCTTATTGCTTTTCGTGGTTCGGTGGTTCGGGAGGATGGCTTCTCTTCTGTGCTTAATGCCAGTTGGGCAGACTCATCACCCCTGGCACGGTGGTCGTTCCCGTTAGGGCATGCCTCTCGCACGTGTCCGAGACACCGGGAAATATCCGCCGGATATCTTTCTAGGGCTCCTTTGTGAGGAACCGCTGAAAGCACAAAAACTTCAGGGTTTTTGGGAGCAATGGTGCTTACTTGTCATTTCCGTCTCGTTCATTATTAAGGTTATAACTTTTTCCTCCGGTACTATGGGTTTACTGACAAGATTCTTGCTGCACACCCAGACAACTGCAAAGCATCCAGCAATGTGTCAGATGTACACGAGCAGCTTGTGCAAAGATATCCCCGGTCTAGGACGAACACAGTCCTGATTTCCTGAAAGAACAGTTTTATGACGAGCAGAAAAAGCAACGGAAGTTTCTCAAGGCATGCGAAGAACATGAGAAAATCACGTTGACATGGCCAAAGCTTTGTGCGGAAGCATCATGGACAAAGTCAGGAAACGGAGTGAAAACTTTCAGAACAAGTGTTTGGGTAATCTTGAAAGATTGATTGTAGATTCCAACGGTTGCTGTGCGCTAGGATGTACATACGTCAGAGCAAAAAGCGTTGTGTAGCTGAAAATGAAACTGAAGACAATGAGATGTCTGAACATGAGGGACTTTTGACTGCTGTGCTCCGTCCTCGCGCTACCAATTACTCTCCCCATTCCATAATGACATGTGCTGCTCTTCTCGGCAGCGCCCATTGAGAGTCAGCCGCACCTTGAGCTTTCTCTGTCTACAGTTTGTACAAGGAAAAGAAGCTGGACGGCAGAAAGCTCCACCAAAGCCATACAGATTAGAATGCAGTGTATAAGGGCAAAAAGAAAAAATCAGGACAAAAACGCTCAATCAGAGCTACATGCCGGAAAAGGGAGCTTCTTCTCAACATGGCACGTTTCTCGGGATACAATGACGACTTTTTTGACAGGTCGTATTTTGGGGCTTCATTTCTTGCTAGAGCAGTCTCCGTATCATTGATTTTGACAGCTCCGTATGAGACTGTATCCACCAAATCATAAGACCTGCCGATGAGTACATTGGAGCTGGCAAAATCTGGAGGGATCCTATGATGTTGAGGGGAATGCCGCCATTGCGGATGGATGTAGTAACGAAGGGTTATAAAAGAGGGATGGAGGGGGAAGTCTTTGTCCTCATTCAAACATCAAGTCTCGCAAACCCTCACTAAAGAATCAATTGAACGATTTGAACTCGAGGATATACCAAGCAAAATGTCAACATTCGCCCGCCCACCCCTCCCTCGAACAGCCAAACGGTCAGAACCCCGTCCCAAAAGCGTTCAAGAAGCTCCCGAAATAGAGTCAAAGCAACCCTCACCTCCCCAATCCCTATCCCAATTCTCACAACCGACATTGCGATTTGTTTTTGCGGTTTTCTTGATTGTAGGATTGTTGGTCCTAGCGTACGCAACCAATCCTTGCTCTTTTCCTGGTCCCGAACCGACATTCTGGAGCCGTGCTCGACATGTTTTTTCTGGTAACGTTTTTTCAAAAGTATTTTTATTTCCTTTGAGTGGGTACTAAAATTTTGGCCGTTGCATTTTGTAGGTCAACCAACTGTTAAGAATTACGGAGTTTTATCAATGGCTGGGAATAAACGTTCGGATTATATTGGGTTATTTGGGGTTTGGATTCCTGTGTCGGGGTTGAAGGGTGCGTATGTTTTTGGGTGATCTGCGCTTTGCTGATGAGATTCTGGACGTGGTCTTTGTGAGGGCGGTAGAGTATATGTAGATTATGGTGTTAGAGTGTTGTTTATTGTATTGTAATATGGAATGTTGTTTCGTTTGGCATATGGTATGTTTTGGCCAGGTGGTACGCATTATGGCGTAAGGATGTTTTGCAGTGTATGCTCTTCTTTTCATCTTTATGCGGTTCACCACATATATCGACAAAGTATCGGCTGCCAAGCACATGTCTGATTTTCGATGAACCTTGATGTATGCCAACATGTTAAAAGCGACCCTAGTGATGCACAGGCACCCGAGAAAAATGCGAGACTGAATCCCGTACATGAAATGCAGAATACGTGAACGTTGGATCCTACATCTTTTATCGCTTCATGTTTTGATGGTGCGGTACATTGCCCTCACGCTCTACCTCCACGAGATACCTAACAATCTGGACATCCATTCCAATATCCCACTTTTACGTACACACAGTACATCTTTTCAAATAGAAGCATGACTTTAGCAATGCACAGTCTCACTATCCATGCTCCAAGCGACAAACAAACAAATGACAGTCAACCACGAATAGCATTGAAAAACTCCACTACATGACACTATAAGGTTTATCCAGCAGCACAGCCACATATTATTATGTAATCAACTCCGACGGGTGAATCCTACTTGCAGAGACAATGGTCACCTACACCTAACACCGATATCGACCTTGAGCCAAAAAAACAGTCATGACCAGTAAACCCCCGAAGGAGACGCGTAAGGTTTTTCCAGCTGGTGATTTTATGATTTTGCCCGGTTTTGCATGTTCTATTCAAGATTGTTCCTGGCCCACATCGGGCATTGATTGTGTTTTTTCCCTTGCGTTTTTTTAAAGTGCTTGGCGATTTCATGAGGGGTCGGTGACGTAAGCTGGAATGGGATATAAAAGACCAGTTGAATTGTGCATAGCATGCTGTTTTTGGCTGTTTTCTTTTGGTTCTGCGAGTGTGTGAGTTCTTTTTGGGTGCTTTGGATGGTTTTATTGTATGTGTTTTTTTTTTATTGATGTCAAGTTTTTTTTTGGCGGTAGTTTTGAATTGCGATGAAGGTTTCTAAATGCTTATTTATGAGTTGGGTGGGGTTGTTGGCGTGTATTGGGTTGGTGGTTGGTGCGCCGGCGGCTCAACCTGCCAAGGCTGCCAATGGGGGTAAGTGTTGTGTATGTGTGTGTTCAAGTAAAGACAAGATGGATATTGAATGTTATGGGTTGGTTCAGATTACACGTTTTCGGTTGGAGTGCAGTACACGGCAGGTCAGATTGTTGATTACCAGGGACTGCGGTACCGGGTTGTCGCCAACCACATTAGTCAAGCGGATTGGTACCCTGGTTGCTGTGCGGTGCTTTGGGAGCTTGTTGGTGCTTTGGATGGTAGTTCCGCTGGAGGTGTTGTCGTCCCTGGTGGGGTCGTGTCCGGGACAACAGGAACTACAGTGCCACCGGGTACAGCTTGGTCTTCACGGACCTTTGCGCCGTATGTTGATATTCTTCTTTGGCCGACTCTGGATGTATCTGCCGTGGCGCAGACGACTGGAGTGACGCATTATACCTTGGCCTTTGTGTTTGCGGATACTGCCGGTAATCCAGCATGGGGGGGTGTTACGCCTGTCAGTAGCGGATTCTATTTGGATATTGTGTCCAAGTTGAGAGGGATGGGAGGAGATGTGATTATTTCTTTTGGAGGTGCCATTGGTATGTTTTCCGTTTTTGTTTCTTTCCCGTTATATCAAGATGACTGTTTAGTTGATTTGCAATATGATAATTTCTGCCAGGCCAAGAGCTTGCGGCAGCCGTAGCAGACGTTGCCACCCTCCAATCGAGATACCAAGCTGTCATCAACAAGTACCAACTCACCTGGGCCGATTTTGACATTGAAGGACCTTCCCTACTCGATAAAGCATCTGTTGATAGACGTAACCAGGCGATAGCAGGGCTTCAAAAGGCTAACCCAAAATTGCTGGTTAGCTATACCCTCCCTGTTTTGCCTAACGGTTTAACGGACGATGGCGTCTACTTGTTGAAGAGTGCTGTAAAGTATGGGGTTCGGGTTGATGGTGAGTTGTACTGTTGCGCTCGTGAAATTCAAACAAGTATGCATGGTGGGTTGACCATCTCAATGCGATTCTCTAGTCGTTAATATCATGGCAATGGATTATGGATCCGGCGTCGCGCCTAATGGTGCTACGGGTATGGGCGGGTACGCCATTTCGGCAGCCCAAGCAACCTACGCCCAAGCCCAAGCCGCCGGTCTCACGACTTCTAAAATCGGAGTGACGCCAATGATTGGGCAAAATGATGTAGCAGGGGAAGTATTCCGGTTAGAAGACGCCAAGCAGCTGGTTGATTGGGCCAAAAGTGTCAGCTGGGTAGCCGAGATTTCCATGTGGAGTGTCAACCGTGATACCTCTAAAGCTGGACCGCTGTATGCTTCCAGTCAGTTAAAGCAGAATGATTACGATTTTGTAAAGACGCTTGTTGCGTTTGAGGGTGGTGTGATTGTTGGCGGTCAACCTGGCGCATCAACGACTTGCCAGACGACAGCAGCAGCAACGACGGCAGTTGTTGTGCCGACACCGCCAACGACCCCTCCTCCAGCAGCATCCGGATGGGGCGCCAAAACATTTGCTCCATACGTGGATGTACTGCTGTGGCCCACATTGGACGTCTCGGCAGTCGCCCAAAAGACAGGTTCGCTGTACTACACTTTGGCATTTATCACGGCTGATTCGGCCAAGAACCCCGCATGGGGTGGGGTGACCAAATGGTCAGATAAATTCTATTTGGATATATTGACAAAGTTGCGTGCTCTTGGTGGAGATGCCATTATTTCTTTTGGAGGTGCTACGGGTATGTTTGTAGAGTTTTGTTTTCGAATCCTCGATATTGAGAACGGAACTCACCATGGTCATTGTAGGTACCGAACTAGCTCTGAGCGTCACGGACGCAACCCAATTGCAAGCCAAATACCAGTCTGTAATTGATACGTACCAGGTCACCTGGGTCGATTTCGATATCGAGGGTGGTGCATTGGGGAACAAGGCTTCTATTGACCGCCGCAACCAAGCCATTGCTGGTCTCCAAAAAGCTAATCCAAAGCTTCTTGTGTCGTACACGCTACCCGTTCTTCCGACAGGCATTACAGCCGACGGAGTCTACCTCTTACAATCGGCGGTCAAGTACGGTGTCCGCGTTGACGTTGTCAACATTATGGCCATGGACTATGGCCCAGCAGCTGCACCTAACGGAGCAACCGGAATGGGAGGATATGCCATCCAAGCCGCTCAAGCAACGTACATACAAGTTCAATCCGCAGGTCTCAAAACGACAAAGATTGGCGTGACACCCATGATTGGTCAAAATGATGTCCAAGGCGAGATCTTTAGAACGGCAGATGCATCCCAGCTGCTGACGTGGGCCCAGCAAACAATCTGGGTGGCCGAACTGGCCATGTGGAGCATCAACCGGGATAACAGCGTCAAAGGACCCTTGTATGCATCATCGCAGATTACGCAGAAAGATTACGAGTTTGCGGGTATCTTTAAAGCGTTTAACGTCGCTGCTACAAAAACAGTTCAAGCGACCCAGGCTGCCACGTTGCCGCCGTTGAACTTGAAAGGTGGAAAGCCTCTAACGAGGATTCAAGCTCGGGAAGCTGTTGAGCCCACCCAACGTGTTGAACGAGTCAAGGCTCGAGAATGGACGTATTATCCGGTTCCCGAGGTACCAGAGCGTCCCGAAGATCCAAAGGACCTCCCGGCTCCTGACCCAGAATTGATCTACACGCCGGAAAAGCGCGAACTGGCTGATACTCCAGAGGTAGTGGGCTTTTGAAAGATACCCTTGAGATGTTACAGTGACACTTTTTAAGTGAATGTGTGTGTGTGTTCGTGTGTGTGTGTATAATGTATCGTCCAAAAAAACAGACAGTATTATTTTTGTTTTCATCAAGAGTGTTGTTTGCTATCATTGTTTGTGACGGGAACTGAACCGTCGCCTACGTGAACAGTCTTGCCGTAGGGTCTCGAATATCGAGTCCTTCTTCCAGCATGAACAAGGTATCAACAAGAAGCCTTGTACAAGTACATTGTGGGCTTGTTCCAAAACCTTGACACTGCTCATCGCAAAGGAATAACAAGAGGTCAAGGTTGACAAAAGCCACAGTCAGGCATTTTGCGCCCTTTGGACGATCCCTTTCAACACCTGCAGAGTCGATATCGACAAACCCTTGCTTGCAAACCTGGCGACAGTCTTGTCAGGTGTGCATGGCGTTCAATAGGTCGCAATCGTTTTTGGCATTGCAACACTTGGAATATTGTTCAAATGCATTCCTGCAGATAAACAATCTTGACCTCCATAATCACTCGCTGCAAGATCCCGGTGCAAACAAAAAAACTTTGTCCAGTTGAAGCAACAAACGGCCGCAATACAAATGCTATGGCGTTCCTGCCGTAGAAATGCCAGTGCTGATCAAAACAAAAAACTTTTAATTACTCGCAACCAATACTGTGCTGTTCATGCCCATTATCGACTCGTTGTGGAATAAAGTCGATACATGGCCAACCCTTGCTCATGGCCCACCCTAATTTCACTCTCCAATAAAGATCAGCAAAAATATTCATACAAAATCACTCACCCGATCATCATTGCAAAATGCAAATAAAAATACTAATAAAAAATCAAAACGACGACAAAACGAGGGCAACGACGGCCATGAAAAAAACAAAAACAAAAAATGCGGGAGCCCAGAATCGAACTCATTGGACCCTTGCAAGGTCACGAGACTGGCACAGCTCACCCGCGCATTTAATTTTAACTTTTGCCAGTGGCTCAGTAGTGGGCTTAGTAAAACGGCCCATTTCGGGTGGTTTGACCGCCGTTCGAGAGCCATGGACAAGATGTTGGCATGGACGATCCTCAAATTCTTTTTCCGTGTGGACAATGGAGACAAAAAAATGGGGGATTTGCATTGTTCTTGGCGAGTATAGACGAGGTTTTTTTTGCTTGTTTTCATACGGTCTTTGCCGATGGCTGTCGATGGCTGCCCATGGCGTGCAAATGGTATGCAAATGGCATTCCGATAGCTAGTTAGTAGTTGTACGGTCATTATCGTGTCATTCGCCATTCACTAAAAGTGTCCGGAAAGGGTGGACACGCTCTGTCACATGTCCGTGTAGCCAAACAATTGGAAATTCGGAGGTTTTAGAGA